GAGGCAATATGGTTACGGCGTCTTCTAGCGGAGCTTGGGCATCCTCAAATGAACCCAACTCCTCTCTTTTGTGACAACCAAGCCGCCATAAGCCTCTCTCACAACGCCGTCCTTCACGGGCGAACCAAGCATACCGAAGTGAAGCATCACTTCATTCGTGAGGCGGTTGAGAAAAGTGAGCTTATGTGAGCACCAAAGCTCAACCGGCGGATTTCCTCACCAAACCACTCCCTAAGGACTCATTCCGTGCATGCTGTGAGCGTGTTGGCTTGAGCACCTAGTGGCTTGGGTGCAAGGGGGAGTGTTGGAGGTTGCGTGGGGCGGTTTTGCCCCCAACCACCAAGCGGTGCTGTTTTTGGTGCTCACCTTCGAGTGAGCTGCAGGTTTGCGTGGAGCTGAAGTTTGACTTCGGAAGTCCAATCGATCCGGTGCCACATGGCAGCACCAGAAAGTTCGGGACTTGAAGGAACATTCGGATGAGTGAAATTCGAGTGTCGAATTTCACCCCTTCGGAATGTTACGAGAACATTCGCGAAGTGTAGCAATCCGATGTTACGACGCGGCTCGATGTTGATTGCATGCTATAAAACTAGTTGCTTTGTATTGCATGCTTCATACTGAAAACCTGAATCACTTTGTATGTGATACACGACTACAAAATCCAGAGAGCTCCTATCCTTTGTCCTAAGAGCACTAGCAGGCACATAAATGCCTAGATCTCCCTCGTTACTTGGGCGAATTGGGTGTTTGATGGCTCGTTGGAAAGCCAGCAGAGTGCTCTATCGTTTAGTACAACTCCAAGTTCCTGCAAAGTAGAGGAGAGTCCTTTACAACACTAAGTAATATTCGAGGTTGCAGCCTTATGCTTCAGCCAAGTTATCTCTCGATTGCTTTATACTACTGTGAAAATGCTGCTATCGACATCCTGGCACCCAACAAGAATACAAAATACCCACCACCACCCATATAGAGTACACACCCACTTGATCGCAAGGCTAGTAACATCCACTGCTACAAGCAGAAGGCTCCTCGTCTTCCCCCCGCCACTAGTATTACACACTCCCAGTCTTGACAGCGGACCCGCCAGGTGTTGCGAGGCGCTGTTCTTAGTCGCGGCTGGTGGATCTGCAGAGAGACGAAAACAGTGGGGAGACGACGGAACGAGTCGGTCATAATAATATTGCCCTCACCAACACGAAATGCCCTCTCACCAACAAGCATAGCCCAGGCAACAGGCATAGCCCAGGCACCACAAGCATAGCCCAGGCACAAACATGCATCTCCCACTCACCAGTAGCCCAATTTCTTGCAATCTGCAAGTGTTCTCGCACGGCCATCCTCACACTCCTTCTTAGCCTTTGCGCTGCTCTTAATTCTCCAGAAAAGAAATATAGTCTCGTCGCAATTCCGCATAATCGCGTCAGCGCAATCCGATTCTGCAAAAGGGTGACAGCAAAGGACTCTGTTGAGTCGACTTTCTTCACTTTGGGGATGGGCCGCCTGAGAATGAGCGACATCAAGGGAGGCAGGAGCAGATGTACGGCCGCACCCTGCTTCACTAGTCTCTTACAACCATCTGGTCATAATCTGTCAGTGCTGCCCAGCCTGGGCAGCACGGAATCACCAGCTCCTTGTATACAGCAACAGCAGAACAGCAGAAAATAATGGAAAGAATAAAAAACAAAAATACCCGCAGGAACAAAACATGTGGGGGCTTGGCTTGATCATTCTTACTAGTCGTCTGGAGTTTGCGGCGACCCTGCTCGTCCCCCGCGCTGGGCTCAGAAAAACTCGGCGCGCTCTCCGTCGTGATGACGCCGCCGGCGGTTTCTACCGCTCCCGACGCACCTGCCGTCGCGCCAAGCCCACACATAGATTCGCGCGCAGGGGAGGAAGAGACAGGGGGAAGAGGTTAGGGGCGTGGAGGAAAGGGAATGAGTGGCACTTATTTCCCGCGGCGTGGGGACGTGAGGCATGGTCGGAGGGTGGGGCGTGAAGCTTGGTCGGATGCAGGGGTGTGCAGAGGGAAAAGCGACATCCCAAATTTGTTTTTTGGGGGGGGGGATTCGAACCGTGGGAGTCGGAAGTGTGTATTTCGAAGTGCACTGTGGCGCCACTCGCTGCACACTAGCTACTCTATCGGATCTCCGACAACACACACACACATCCGACACTACAAGGGCACGGACGGAGTCCCTACACTACCATCCGAGGGCACTCCACACAATCTGGATACTACGCCGCGATTGCACAACGTGTGTCGACGTGTTGCCCCTAGATTGCACGCCCCAACGTGGCACTTGCAATTCCGCGTGTGAGGGAAACGCCACGGGTTCTTGAAATGCGCGCAGCCATCGCTCGGATATGCGCCTTATTTTCGCACGGATCTGCGACGTGCCATCGCACGGGTCTGCGACGTGCCATCGCGGGTCTGCGACATGCCATCACACGGGTCACCGACTTGGCCATCGCAAGGGTCTGCAACTTACCATCGGCAATCATCCCATTGCCAGGAAGCCGAACAGATCGAGAAGCAGCAGCGAATGATGCGAGCGTGACGGTGAAGGCAAGCAGGAGAGCGAGAGCAGTAAGCAGGCGCGCCATGATAAATACTAGTAGCTAGCGAGGATGCAGTAAACTGGAAACGAGTGAATCAAGAGCTTCGAAGTGTGGGACTGCCGTTGGGAAGGAAAAAGGCGTGGGTATTTGTATGGCGTGAGGGCGGATTGTGGTGGATGTGAGTGAAACAAAATTCTCATGCTCAGCGCGGTCAACATCGCGAATCGCTATCCTCAGCGAATCACGATCGAGATGTTCGATGAAACGCGGTCCAACCATAATTCATCTGAATGAGTCGCTTGACTGCGAAGTGAATCTTGGGTGGTGTGGTGTGTTACGCACGCTTCTAGTGCGTTAAATAAGGATACGAGACGGTTTGCTTGAATCGCAAACGGTTTTGAGCAACATTGATCGCGTTCACAAGCCGTGGTGTTTCACCAGCAGTAGACATTTCTCTTTCACCCGGACTGCCCGATCTGAGACCTGTGGGAAATGGGCACCGATTCCAGTTCCAGTAATGGTTGGGGGACTGGGAACTGGAAAAGGAAGCGATAGCTACGGGGATGTCACCTCGACCAAGTAAGCACCGAACTCTAAATACTGAAAGTCAGGTTTTGAGTAAAGCATTCCAGATCAGAATTCCGTTAGTTCTTCGGTACAGTCTGAGTTTTACGTAAACCATTTGCCCTTCAGCAACCGCCACTTTGTGCACATCACCCAGAAAAATAATTATCTTTGTAGTTTACGTCCAAAAACTGTTTGAATCGCCATGAGATGCGGGGGAGTCTACAGAAAGTGAATTATATGAACTACATGCCTTTGATTAAAGATACATAGCTAAATATAGCAAATATACTAAGTTTCTATAAGGAATTTTCTCGACATTCCTTAGCGCATCCTGCAACATCGCGTACAGCAACAGCCGTTGTTCGCCCGTTACTGCTAACGGGGCTTCGCCGACTTCGCGCGCACTGTTTCACCAAATCATGCACCGCTGGCCCAGCCGTGTCGGCCTACGCTTCGGGACTAGCCCGAGCCTCGATGCCAGCCTAGCACTAGCTAGCTCGCATGCACCGCGTTACCGTTTGCATTTTTCGCGTTTAAATGTTCGCTCATACCTTCACTCACATTTTGTACTCGTTTGACACCCAGTGCAATCCTTGGTACCTCGATTCATTCCAACTAACGCAAAATCCAGGATCGCACAACCCTTGCTCACATCTTGCACAACCCTTCTCCCGTCACGAGCAGTCTCGTTCCAGTGCTCGGTGTACACGTTGACTCTCTGCATATGCTGCCCCTGGTACAATCATGAAAACCAGCAACTTACGATAACAATCGTGCGAGATTGTATCTGTGTGTGTGTGTGTGTGTGTGTGTGTGTGTGTGTGTGTGTGTGTGTGTGTGTGTATGTGTGTGTGTGTGTGTGTGTGTGTGTGTGTGTGTGTGTGTGTGTATGTGTGTGTGTGTGTGTGTGTGTGTGTGTGTGTGTGTGTGTGTGTGTGTGTTCGTGTGTGTGTAAAACGGACCATATTTTACAAAAACCGTATCTTTAAACCTTGATGCACACATCCGTTCACTCACACAAGATGTGCATCACACTGATAGGAAGTGAAGAGGCACTTTAGGCAGGCATGAGGGGAAAGCTCCTGTGAATTACCCACTACTACTGTGACTCATTATGGTCAGTATGGTTGACACACACAGTGTTCTCAATCAGCGTGCTCATAGCGTTGGTAATGGGTAGGGCGAAAGCGTCGCACGGTCGAGCAACGATGATCTGTTCCGCCACACATCTCTGGTGGAACAGAACCCAACAGTCACCCGAGCTCACGCCAGCACTCTCTCAAACCCCAATGACTGTTGGTCTGTCTTCGAGTTGAAACATCCGCCACCTCTATTTAATCTCCTACACTGTTGTCCCCAATTGATTGTTCTGTGGCCTTTGACACCTATAATTATCCATTGGGGGGGAGGGGGGGTCTGAGGTCTAGTCAAGACCATCCCTATAATAATTGAAGATGTGGAATTCTACACTAGACCTCAGACCCCCCGTCACCACATCATCGGTCAGACATTCTTCACTGTCAACCATTTGCGTTCTCGTGGTCCAACACTGGTTCACCCCATTCTCCTGTTCCTACTCCTACAAATGCCCTTGTATTTACATATGGCCCCTCCCCTCCCTCCTGTCCCATCACATCCCATCCCATCCCATCCCATCCCATCCCACCCCATCCCATCCTCCCCACGATGTTGCTACATGGAGAGTGCAAAAGGCTCCTATGTCCCCAACAAGCGCTTCCTGCCAGATATAGTTGCGCCTTTTGAGGCGCCTCAAAAGTGAACTCCCCTCCCATCCTACCCAATCCTCCCTGCGATGCTACCACAGGGAGAGTGCAAAAGGATCCTATTTTCCCAACAAAGGCTTCCTGCCAGATATGGTTGCGCCTGACCCTGATGTCGTGCCTACACTCTTGGATGCAACACCTGGCGTTTCACCTGAATATTCACCTGAAGGTTCACCTCAAGATTTACGTGAAGTTTCACCTGATGATGAGTCTGGTGCTGCTGCAGCTTGGGGAGGGGAGAGGGAGGCGCGGCAGAGTGAGGGTAGGAATGATGGAGAGGGAGGGGCAGCGTCAGTGACTGGGGAGGGATTGGCAGCGGCGGCAGCAGGAGCAGAAGGAGCAGCAGCAGCGGAAGCAGTGGCAGCATATTTATCAGAGCACCTGTCAGAGTCTCTGCACTGTCTAGGCATCCATGGCAGTGCTGCTGCTGCTGCTGGTGGTGGTGGTGGTGACGGCGATACTGCGGCTACTGCTGCCGTTACTGCTGTTGTGGGCAGGGAGGGGGGTCAAACAATTGCTGCACCAGGTGCAGAAGAGTGCGTACCTGCAGCGGCAGCACCAGCAGCAGCAGAAGCAGCAGAAGCACCACCAATGACAGCAGCACCAGCAGCAGCAGCAGCAGCAGCAGCAGCAGCAGCAGCAGCAGCAGCAGCAGCAGCAGCAGCACCAGCAGCAGCAGAGGTAGCAGCACCACCAATGACAGCAGCACAGATGGATGAGTTGTTGGATCGCTGTCTGCTGCATGCCCTCTCCGTCTCTGTGAAGCCCTCGCACCTACCCCTCGGAGCTAGCTCCCTCTGGTAAGAGTATGCGCTGGCAACCTTTCTCTTGTATGTAACCTCCCTTTCAAGTGGCAATGACGCCAGCACATATGGACGAGCTGTCTGCTGCAGGCCCTCACTGTCTGCTGCAGGCCCTCACTGTCTGCTGCAGGCCCTCACTGTCTCAGTCAAGCCGTCGCACCTGCCGCTGCCAGCTAGCTCCCTCTGGTGAGCTTCTCAAGATTTATCATATCTGGTGACCTTTGTTCGGCTCCTCAGCCTGCCTGCTCTCGTCTTCTACATGATAAGAAGAGAGGGGCAGGACATTACACATGGGTGTATTTTGAGGCGCCTCAAAGGACATTACACATGGGTGTATTTTGAGGCGCCTCAAAGGACATTACACATGGGACAAAAGTGGCAGCTTGAATCTCATGTTACCTCGTGTTTCCCACGAATCTCGAAGCTCACCGAGGCGGGCGGGGCGTGGCATGGCATGGCATGGCAGGGAATAACAGATTCTCGTGTGTTCACACGTCTCAAATATAGAGTGCATGGCAGGTCAGTCGTGTGATTTTCTGATACCCTACCACCGTGCCATTGGTGCTGGCAGGTCCAATCACGTGCTGCCATGTCGGCCGCCCGGCACAACAGTGGACATCAAGAAGTCGTCTCACAGGAAGCTGAGCAAGTGGCTGCATGCCAAGGTTGTTGATGGGCTGGTGAGTGCGCTGAGAGTGAGGGAGTTTGAGTGAGAGAGTGTGTGAGTTTTATACTCTCACATCCTACTGTCGCACAAGCAGCTCTCCAAGCAGGGCTGTTGACGGGCTGGTGTGTGTGCTTGAGTGAGGAAGATGTGAGAGTGAGTGCCATATGTCATCACTGCACCCACCCGTGCAAGCCTGCCAAGCAGGGATATAATTTTCCCTGCCATTAACCACCCATGGATCATGATTATCATGGCATGTATTCACCCCTTCCCTTACACCCTTTCCGCTGCACCCATGTACCTCTCCGGGTCTCCCTCTTACGCATATTTTCAGCAAGGGAAGACAAGCAGCGGAAGGAGTTCATCCTTTCTGCCATCAACCAACCATGCCATGCACACACAAATTCCCTTGCACCTATCTACTCCCACCCCCCACCCCCCCCCCCCCCCCCCTCCCCCCATCCCCCACCGTGCACTTTCATATATGCGGCAGGGATGAGAAGCACTGCAAGGAGTTCATCATCTCATCTCTCAACCACAACCACCAGGCCCTCCTCGCATTCTGCATCTGTCGTTCTTTCTACCTCGCCCCCTCCCCACAGATAAGCGGCAGGGAGGACAAGCACCGCAAGGAGTTCATCATCTCATCCATCAACCACCGCCACCAGGCCCTTCCCTTGCACCCCTTCCCTTTGCACCCATCTGCCCGCCCCCCAACCTCTTCACCCTGCCCGCACAGATAAGCGGCAGGGAGGACAAGCACCGCAAGGAGTTCATCGTCTCAGCCGTCAACCACCGCCACCAGGCCCTCCTCGCATTCTGGCCACATAAGACAAGCAAACCCGCCCAAGCCCCTGTCACTGCACCCGAAGGCAGCCCAGGGATAGCTACCGGAACCGGCGCCGTCACAGCCACCACGACGGTAGAAGAGGTGTTTAAACCATCTCTCCACGTGTCTCCTGTCTTTGAAGCAATGGGTCTCGACCCACTCGCCTTCTACTCCCCCTCTGCTGTTCACAACGCTGCCCTTTCCTACATCTCCCTCCACTCCCTCACCGAGCCCTCCGACCCCTCTATAGTCATCCTCGATGCTACACTATGCGATGCACTGTACAAAGGCGCGATAAAAAAGGGCGCCGAATATCCAACAGAGTGCCCTAAGCGGGACCCAGGCCCCCTCTTACTGCGTCGCATGCAGGCACAGCACAGGGTGGAGAAGGGGGGGAGGAGTGTGGAGCGGAAGGGGAAGGTAGAACCGGTGCAGGTATTTGTGAGGGGGCGGCAGGGCAGCAGGAAGGTGACGCGGGTGACAGGCGTTGATGCTTATCTGGTGGAGGCTTATCTGGTGGAGGCTGAACCGCTCGCTGCTGAGCTGCAGAGGACGTTTGCTTCGAGCACATCAGTGGCTGAAGTGCCAGGTGGGTGCAGCTGCAACAGATGCGTGTGAAAAGGCTCACAGGTACTGGGGGCAACGGGTGCCTGTGTTAACAGGTCTGCTTCGAGCACGTCGGTGGCTCAAGTGCCAGGTGGGTGCAGCTGCACCAGCTGCACCAGGTGCCAGGGCTATACTGACCCTACCAGGTCCCGTACCTACCAGGTCTGGCAGCATGTTCATGCATTCTCTTTCGTGAAGGAGCACACTGACTGCACAGCGCCAGCCAGGTGAGTAGGGCCCTGTAGCGCTGCAGAAATTTTGGAGGAACCCGTCCCTGCTGCAGATGTTCCGAGCACCATTTTGTCTGCTGAAAGTTCCCATCTTCCACCCTTTCTTATGCACTCCTATTCCCCCTCGTTTCTAACCCCCAATTATCTTCATCTCTATTCTTGCACGAAACCCACCCATTTCGATTTTTGCCTCTTCCCTCCTCTCTGCATATTGCCTTTCCCCTTGCCTAGGAGAAGGCAAGAAAGGCCAGCGTGAGGATAAGTTGTCTCGGCTGCTTGTGGAAGCGCATGGCATCCCAAAATCCTATGTAACGGCAATCGATTATACCAGAAGGTGATGCATGTACGCACATATCCCTAAAATCGTGTACATACCGTCATGCCCCGGATATACCCCCAGGTGGGGGTATAAAAAAACCTGGAAAAATGGTGGGTGGGCTTATAATGTGGATTTTTTTATAACCTCATGGGGGAAATAAATGACACTTAGAGAATTATGATTTTAAAACACAGAAATGTTGCTCTCAGCCTTGCTGTTTCAATCGAGACTACCACAAAACAGTTCGTTTCGAAATTCATCGAGAATCTGCCACCCTGGCGAAAATCTCTGCCATCATGTGCTGAAATGTCGCTAACACGTGCGCGCCTGTGGCAATTTCGCCAGGCGGGCCAGGGAAGACTTCGCCAGGCACGTCAGAGACGATTGCTCCTGACGCGTTAGTGGCGAATTCACTAGAAAAATACAGATTTGAGTAAAATTCATAGGGTGCGCTTATACGAAGATGATCCAAATTTAGGGTGGGGTTATAATCGGCACCCGGCTATAAGCCCACTGGTACGATTATATGCCCATGGGTGTAACATAGGCCTGGGGGTATATCCAGGGCATGACGGTAGTATGGCACTTCGGTCTCATCCTTCGTATGGGTATCCTGAAACAATCTCAACCACGTGAAATTACGGTATATTGATAATATCACATTAGTATGAGTATTTGATGGTTTAAGGATTTTTTTCCAATCATCATATATCAGTCTTCACAGTGACAACCCATATCATGATAATTCTGGATTGTTTTGAATTTAATCCTCATGCTCCATCTCTATATGTGGCTATTGTTTATGCATCTCATATCATCATCGTGTAGTTCATAGAATTTACTTCTAAGACACCCCCTCTCCCGCATCTCACGGCAAATCAAGCAGTTCCTTGGGCGTAGTGCACGAGAGTCAAGTATTTTTCTGGGTGATGTGCACGAAGTGGCGGTTGCTCGATGGTTTGATGGTCCACGCAAAACTCACATGCGCGGAAGTACCACAACGACTCTGAGCTGGAAAACATATTCGGGATCTTGACTTCCACGATGAATTGAAGTTTGATACTAACTTTGACACCAAGCTTCGGGGTCATTGCAGGCGTCATACCCCTTAGCTAGCGCTTCCTCTTCCATGTTCGACAATACTACTTACGGAAACTGGAAACGGATCCCGACCCGTTTGACAAAAAATTAGCTCCCACAGGTTAACCTCGGGCAGTCAGGGTGAAAAGCTAAATGTATACGGGTTGTCAAGCACCACACAGTGTGAACGCGATCAATTTTGCTTGGGGCCCGTTTGTGATTCAACAAAACCGATTGTATCCATGTTTAACGCACTCCAAACGTGTGTACCATACCACACCACCCAACATCCACTTTGTAGCCGAACAACTCAAACATCCTGATGAATTATGGTTGGAACGCGTTTCAGCGAACTTCTCGATGGTGATTCGCTGAAGTTCCCGATTCGCGATGGTGACAGCGCTGAGCATGAACACCTGCACTCCAGCCCATTCATTCACTTCACATCCACCACAATCCACCCTCACACCATACAAATACCCACGTCCTTCCTTCCAACACCAGACGCACATTTCAGAGCTCTTCGTTCACTCGCTTCCGACTCCCTGCATCCTCTTTACAAGCTACTGGTAGTAATCATGGCGCGTCTGCTTACTGCTCTCGCTCTCCTGCTTGCCTTCACCGTCACTCTAACAACATTCGCTTCTACTGCTGCTGCTCGATCTGATCGGCTTCGTTGTTGTAGAGGAGTCTCCTCTACTTTGCAGGAACTCTAAGTTGCACTAAACGATAGAGCACAGTCTTGGCTTTCCAACAAGCCGTCAAACACGTTAATCGCCCAAGTATACGCCGAGATATTGGCGTTCACGTGATTGCTAGTGCTCTTAGAAGCAAGGATAGACCTCTCTGGAATTTTGGTTCGAATGGACCATGTACAAGAAGATTCAGGATTTCAGTATAAAGCATGCATACAAGGCAGGTCGATTTATAGCAAATGCATTACATCGAACCGCACATGTAACATCACATCGCTACACTCGCGTCGCGAGTGCGCCGCGTGTAACATTTCGGTTGGGGTGAAATTCGACCACCGAATTTCACACCGAACACACCGAATTCGCCTTGCACTTGAAGGTTGGAATGTGGTGCCGCCACGTGGCACCGAAGGGTGAGTCTCCCGAAGTCAATCGGTGCCACCCCACCAATCCCTAGTCAAAGGGATCGAAGGCACCGAAGTGCCCTCGGTGGGTTGGGGGCATACCACCGCCCCACCACCGTTTCCTTCCAACACTCCCCCTTGCACCCAAGCCACTAGGTGTTCATACCAACACGCTCACGGCATGCACGGAATGAATCCTTAGGGAGTGGTTTAGTGAGGAAATCCGCGGGTTGCGCCTTGGTGCTTATGTATGTGACCTTGACCTCACCTCTCTCGACCACCTCACGAATGAAGTGATGCTTCACCTCAATGTGCTTGGTACGCCCGTGAAGGACGGCATTGTGAGTGAGGTTTATGGCCGCTTGGTTGTCACAAAAGAGAGGAGTTGGGTCGGCTTGAGGATGCCCAAGCTCCGCTAGAAGGCGCCGTAGCCATATTGCCTCCATGGCTCCTTGAGTGAGTGCCATATACTCCGCTTCCGTTGTGCTTAGAGCCACGGTTGGTTGCAACTTGCTTTGCCAACTCACGGCTCCCCCAAGCAAGATGAAGACGTACCCGCCGGTACTCTTGCGCTTGCTTTGATCACCGGCATAATCCGAGTCGGTGTAGCCCTTAAGCACGATTGGACCGGCTTCATATACGATTCCCAAGTTGGGTGTGCCTTGGAGGTAGCGTAGAACACGTCCTCCCGCACGCACATGCTCGGTATGAGGGTTGCTCACGACTCGTCCAAGCACCCCGGCGGCGTATGCGAGGTCGGGACGAGTAGAAACGGTGACATACATGAGCGAGCCCACTAGCGAATGAAACCGCTTCCCTTCGGCTTCGTCGAGGGCGGATTCTTCCTCTCCCGGGAGGCAAGAAAATCCCGTGTTTAGTGGCGTCCCCACCGGGTTGCTATTACCCATGCCGAAGCGCTCCACAACCCCTTTCACATATTTTTCTTGGTGGAGGTGAATGGTCCCGTTCGCGCGGTCGCGGTCGACGTGCATCCCGAGGTAGTACGTCACCGGTCCCAAGTCCCTCATGACAAACTCCGCCCCTAGCCGTTGCTTGACCTCTCGAATGAGGTCTTTGGAGTCGGAGAAAAGAAGGAGGTCATCGACGTAGAGCAAAAGCACCAATTGCTTCTCCCCCTCCTTCAACACGTACAAAGCGCTATCACACACGCTACGCGCGAAGCCGTGTTGAAGAAGAAAGTCGTCGATGCGCTTGTACCATCCGCGTGGGCTTTGCTTCAAGCCATAGAGGGTACGCTTGAGCTTCCACACCCGACCGCTACCGTCATCGTACCCCGGGGGTTGCCGCATGTAGACTTCTTCCATGAGAAGCCCGTAGAGGAAGGCGGTGCAAACGTCCAATTGTTCCACCTCGAGGTTGAGAGATGCCGCTAGCGCGAGCAACACCCGAAGAGTGGAGGCCTTCGAAACGGGAGCGAAGGTCTCACTATAGTGCTCCCCCTCCCGTTGAGTGTACCCTTGCGCCACAAGCCGCGCCTTGTAGCGTTCGAAACCTCCATCGGCTCCCAATTTCTTCCTAAGCACCCACTTGCATCCCACCAAGTAGGCACCCTTCGGCGGGTCGACGAGCTCGAAAACATCGTTCTCCTTGATCGATGCTAACTCCCTCTCCATCGCTTGCTTCCATAGCGGTGCATCCGGGGAAGCCAAAGCCTCCTTGTGAGTGCGTGGGTTATCGTCGCCGATGGTCGCTAGGCAAATCGCCGCACTCTCCTCATCCGACTCCCCAACGGCGACCGTAGCATAGTCGGTTAACCTCGTGTTGGGGCGAGGTGTACGACGCCCGCGAGTCAACGCCAATGGTAGGGAAGAAGGTGCGGAGGAAGTGGCCTCCTCGGTTGGTGGCACCTCCTCGACATCATCATCGCACTCCTCGTTCTCTCCCCCTCCACTTTCGGCTCCCTTCTTCACGTGCGGTGAAACCTCCACCGCTTCATCCTCCTCTCGTGCGGGAAGGACGACGGTGAGTTGCGGCGTTTGTTTCTCCTTTGTCGGGAACTTGTCTTCGTCGAAGATCACATCCCGAGACGTGACGACGCGTTTTTCATCCAAATCCCACACTCGCCATGCACGCTCGTTCGCCGCAATCCCCAAGTAGATCGCCGCACGAGCTTTCGGTTGCAACTTGTGGCGAAGTGGATCCGGTACATGGTAGTAGCAAAGGCACCCAAAGGTGCGTAGGCGGTATAGGTTCGGCTTCGTTCCGGTCCATGCTTCGAACGGAGTCGTTCCCGGTAGCACCTTTGTTGGCACACGATTACGAA